ATGGTCGGGTGGTCAAATGGTCGGGTGGTCGAATGGTCGGGTGGTCAGATGGTCGGATGGTCAGATGGTCGGATGGTCAGATGGTCGGGTGGTCAGATGGTCGGATGGTCAGATGGTCGGATGGTCAAATGGTCGGGTGGTCAGATGGTCGGATGGTCAAATGGTCGGGTGGTCGAATGGTCGGGTGGTCGAATGGTCGGGTGGTCAGATGGTCGGATGGTCAGTTGGTCGGATGGTCAGATAGTCGGATGGTCAAATGGTCGGGTGGTCAGATGGTCGGATGGTCAGATAGTCTGATGGTTGGTTGATCGGATGGTCAGATGGTCGAGTGGTCAGGTGGTCAGATGGTCGGATGGTCAGATAGTCGGATGGTCAAATGGTCGGGTGGTCGAATGTTCGGGTGGTCAGATGGTCGGGTGGTCAGATGGTCGGGTGGTCAAATAGTCGGGTGGTCGAATGGTCGGGTGGTCAGATGGTCGGGTGGTCAGATAGTCGGATGGTCAAATGGTCGGGTGGTCAGATGGTCGGATGGTCAGATAGTCGGATAGTCAAATGGTCGGGTGGTCGAATGGTCGGGTGGTCAGATGGTCGGGTGGTCAGATGGTCGGGTGGTCAAATGGTCGGGTGGTCGAATGGTCGGGTGGTCAGATGGTCGGATGGTCAGATGGTCGGATGGTCAGATGGTCGGGTGGTCAAATGGTCGGGTGGTCGAATGGTCGGGTGGTCAGATGGTCGGGTGGTCAGATGGTCGGGTGGTCGAATGGTCGGGTGGTCAGATGGTCGGATGGTCAGATAGTCGGATGGTCAAATGGTCGGGTGGTCGAATGGTCGGGTGGTCAGATGGTCGGGTGGTCAGATGGTCGGGTGGTCAAATGGTCGGGTGGTCGAATGGTCGGGTGGTCAGATGGTCGGATGGTCAAATGGTCGGGTGGTCGAATGGTCGGGTGGTCAGATGGTCGGGTGGTCAGATGGTCGGGTGGTCAAATGGTCGGATGGTCGAATGGTCGGGTGGTCAGATGGTCGGATGGTCAAATGGTCGGGTGGTCGAATGGTCGGGTGGTCAGATGGTCGGATGGTCAGATGGTCGGATGGTCAGATGGTCGGGTGGTCAAATGGTCGGGTGGTCAGATGGTCGGATGGTCAGATAGTCGGATGGTCAAATGGTCGGGTGGTCGAATGGTCGGGTGGTCAGATGGTCGGGTGGTCAGATGGTCGGATGGTTAAATGGTCGGGTGGTCGAATGGTCGGGTGGTCAGATGGTCGGATGGTCAGATGGTCGGATGGTCAGATGGTCGGGTGGTCAAATGGTCGGGTGGTCGAATGGTCGGGTGGTCAGATGGTCGGATGGTCAAATGGTCGGGTGGTCAAATGGTCGGGTGGTCGAATGGTCGGGTGGTCAGATGGTCGGGTGGTCAGATGGTCGGGTGGTCAGATGGTCGGGTGGTCAAATGGTCGGGTGGTCAGATGGTCGGATGGTCAGATAGTCGGATGGTCAAATGGTCGGGTGGTCGAATGGTCGGGTGGTCAGATGGTCGGGTGGTCAGATGGTCGGGTGGTCAAATGGTCGGGTGGTCGAATGGTCGGGTGGTCAGATGGTCGGATGGTCAAATGGTCGGGTGGTCGAATGGTCGGGTGGTCAGATGGTCGGATGGTCAGATGGTCGGATGGTCAGATGGTCGGGTATTCAAATGGTCGGGTGGTCGAATGGTCGGGTGGTCAGATGGTCGGGTGGTCGAATGGTCGGGTGGTCAGATGGTCGGATGGTCAGATGGTCGGGTATTCAAATGGTCGGGTGGTCAGATGGTCGGATGGTCAGATAGTCGGATGGTCAAATGGTCGGGTGATCGAATGGTCGGGTGGTCAGATGGTCGGATGGTCAGATGGTCGGATGGTCAGATGGTCGGGTGGTCAAATGGTCGGGTGGTCAAATGGTCGGGTGGTCGAATGGTCGGGTGGTCAGATTGTCTGATGGTTGGATGGTCGGATGTTCAGATGGTCGGATGGTCGGATGGTCAAGTGATCGGATGATCAGATGGCCGGATGGTCAGATGGTCGGGTTATCAGATGGTCGGATTGTTAAGTGGTTGGAGGTCAGATGGTCGGGTGGTCAGATGGTCAGAGCCCCAGTTTGTTTCAAAAGAACATATTAGGTGAAATAACATGACCTCCGATCTCTTTCACAGTCTCGATGTGGATGTCACAAAAAATTAACACCTGTAAGCAAAAATTCTCTGATCAACACTTGCACGGAAAAATCTCTAATTAACACATGTACGTAAAAATCTCTTATTAACACATGTATACATAAATCTTTAATTAACACCTGCACGCAAAAATATCTAATTAACACCTGCGCATAAATAACATTAATGTTGGTCAGTATGAAGTTTTGTTAAGTATTAGTCATATATTGTAGAATTTATGAGAGTAGAGGTAGCTAAAGGTCTTGTGTTTCGTTTTTCTGCGGGATAACATCTATAAATAGCTTTAACCCTTCGACTAGAATTCTTAAATTTGGTTAAAATGTTTTTAAAAAAAACCACATATCATATTTCTGTACGTTCTTTTAGACAAAAAAAAAACAGATGAATGCTAAAAACGATCAATAAGGCTTATATCTTCCTCATGCGCATAAACCTTTATGATCGATTTTTGCGAGCTGAATGTTTCAGTGCAGGTATCAAATGTAGATTGAACATAGATCTGGTTTTAAAACACGGAACTAAACAATAATAAAGTCATTTCTTCAAGACATATTAATGTTGGTCTTTTGTCGTGTGTGTGTATCCTGTAATCAATGATGGTTTTGTCTAGTGTTTGTTAATCATGAAAGTATTGGATGCATTAGCAAGAAAGTATACACATGTTGTAGAACAAGAAGGTAGGCAGGTGATTTGTCGGTGTTGTATTGTGATTTATGGATTGTATGTGGTATAGGAGGTATAGGTTGTAACAGTTCATTCAATTTTTTAAATTCTGATGTAAGTTATATATCTGCTATTTAAAATGGTATAGCAAACACTTTTAGCTGACACAAATTCCTTCTAACGTGAAGGTAAGGCGGTGTAATAGCTTCAGATACAATCTCATTATTCATTTTTTTTCTTTAAATAGTTAATAAATGGGAGACAACAAAAACAAACGTTGTCCCTACAGTGTTTTGTGCAAAATTCGATTTTTTAAAAGTATCGAATAAATTTTCACTTGGGGCGAAGGGTAGGGATGTGGAAGTTGTATATATGGGTTACATATGTGAGATATATATATATATATATATATATATATATATATATATATATATATATATATATATATATATATATATATATATATAAGGGATGATGATAGCGCAGACTGTATGTCTGGGTGGGTAAAAATGTCCAGTTTTTGTGCTACATAATATGTGCACGATCCATATGTTTGCATTTTAGCTATAACAGTGGCGATGAAAGCACGACTCTTCATAGACATCTCCGCGCATGCAATAGGAAGGGGAAATAATCCAATTATTTTTCCCAAGATTGGTTCTTAATTTATCGAGACAGCTAAAGCCCATATCAACTCACACATTTCACTGGGAGTGAGGGGAGGGGGGATTTTCTGCTCAACACCCACATTACTTGGGGGTGGGGGGCATCTGCTCATGTCGCCCAACCCTTTTACAGTGAGATAATTGCGGCTGGTTGTTTTTTTTCTGTTCCAACTTTTTAAAATGCCAGACTTATTTTAAGTGCTTGGACAAGAACTATTTTATCTTGACCGTGCACGCCAATACTTTTTACCAACGCGCACTTTATAGCAAACACATAAACGTAATCGTACTCACCAACTTGCTGACCGAATCACAGTCTCATTGGCCTAGGACTAGCAGAATCGCTGGCTCAATCATCCATTAATTAACCAGCTAATTAATTACACGACTCGTGACTAGCTCACTATTTGATTAACTCACCAACCGACTAACACTCTTATTTAGCCACCGTTTAAATGACCTACTGACTAAATCACCGACTGAAGAAATTACCAACTAAGTTAGCCACAGACTGAACGATATATCGACTAATTGAGCTACTGACTCATCATAACCTGACTTGTCTATTGACTAACTCATTAAGTAACTAACTAGTCCACTCAAAAATTTACTAAAGACTCCAACACCAATACATTATTCCCTTATTCCGTGATTTACTTAAGGTAAGTACAAAGTAATGTCAAACATAAGCCGCGGTGTTTCGTGTCATGTTTAGTGAAAGAGTGAGAGAGGGAGAGAGAGAGGGAAGAGACAGAGAGAGAAAGCGAGAGAAAATGGAGAGAGAGTGAGGAAGAGAGGGAGAGAGAGATAAAGCTAGAGAAAAGGAGAGAAAAGGAGAGAGAGCTAGTGAGAGGGAGAGAAAGCGAGAGAAAGGAATAGAGAGAGAGCAAGAGAGAGCGAGGGAGAGCGAGAGAGCGAGAGACAAAATGCGGACAAGAACACACTAAAACAACAAAATGGGGTACATACACACCTACCACAAACCTCTCACGCGCAAGATAAGTTATAAAATTACCCATAATGCAGAAAAACTATCAGTGTCTAAGACTTACAGAAACATGAAACGTCTCCTATAAAATATAAGAGAAGATGAACCTCATACAAAAACTCAGACATACCACAACAATAAACAATATAATACAATACCGAAGATTATCTTGATATCAAGGACCATAACTCTAGATGAAGAAATAAGAGTTCTTTCACAACGACCGTTTCTCTTATGAGGCGGTGATCCCAAGGGCGCCTGTTGACGTTGTTAAGACAATATTTGGGCAGAAGCTGAAAAAACCGAGACATGTTTACAAGTCTGGAACATTTTTTTGTGGTCGTTTGACGCCCGAATGCATGGGGGGGTCAACACTGGCCCCCGCTTGATTGAAGATCTGGAAGGAATGCGCTGGTAAAAAAAAATATAGACGCAGATGTCTTGGCTTTTCTCCGGATAATTGTTGGGATAAAAGTAAAGATGGATTTCCTTTTGGGAAAAAAAGTTGGTCGTGGAAGTTTGTGTCGAAACATCCAGCTTCTCTTCCTCCCCAATGTTTTACGTTGCTTACAAAAAATAAATTTCTTATATTTTTAAATTGTAAATTTTCATGAAAACTTTAGAAATTTATAAATTAAATTTGATTTCCTGATATGCTTTGCTTGCTTGTATAGTAAATGAGATTTATGTTTAAGTCATGCGATGAGTTTATGTAGAATGAGCTGATAATCTTACGATACTAAACGCCTCTATTTTGACCACTAGAACCACCGCTATAGCCCTCACCACCAAAACCACCTCTACAACCCTAACCATCTAAGCCACCTCTACAACCCTAACCACCAAAACCACCTCTACAACCCTAACCACCAAAACCACCTCTACAACCCTAACCACCAAAACCACCTCTACAACCCTAACCACCAAAACCACCTCTACAACCCTAACCACCAAAACCACCTCTACAACCTTAACCACCAAAACCACCTCTACAGCCCTAACCACTAGAACCACCTCTACAACCCTAACCACCAAAACCACCTCTACAACCCTAACCACCAAAACCACCTCTACAAAACAAACCACAATAAAACCACCTCTACAACCCTAACCTCCAAAACCACCTCTACAGCCCTAACCACAATAAAACCACCTCTACAACCCTAACCACCAAAGCCACCTCTACAACCCTAACCACCAAAACCACATCTACAACCCTAACCACCAAAACCACCTCTACAACAATAACCACCAAAACCAACTCCACAGCCTTAACCACTAAAACCACCTCTACAACCCTAACCACCAAAACCACCTCCACAACCTTAACCACTAAAACCACATCTACAACCCTAACCACCAAAACTACCTCTACAACCCTAACTACCAAAACCACCTCTACAACCCTAACCACCAAAACTACCTCTACAACCCTAACCACCAAAACTACCTCTACAACCCTAACCACCAAAACCACCTCTACAACCCTAACCACCAAAACCACCTCTACAACCCTAACCACCAAAACCACCTCTACAACCCTAACCACCAAAACTACCTCTACAACCCTAACCACCAAAACCACCTCTACAACCCTAACCACCGAAACCACCTCTACAACCCTAACCACCGAAACCACCTCTACAACCCTAACCACCGAAACCACCTCTACAACCCTAACCACCAAAACCACCTCTACAACCCTAACCACCAAAACCAGCTCTACAACCCTAACCACCAAAACCAGCTCTACAACCCTAACCACCAAAACCAGCTCTACAACCCTAACCACCAAAACCAGCTCTACAACCCTAACCACCAAAACCAGCTCTACAACCCTAACCACCAAAACCAGCTCTACAACCCTAACCACCAAAACCAGCTCTACAACCCTAACCACCAAAACCAGCTCTACAACCCTAACCACCAAAACCACCTCTACAACCCTAACCACCAAAACCAGCTCTACAACCCTAACCACCAAAACCACCTCTACCACCCTAACTACCAAAACCACCTCTACAACCCTAACCACCAAAACCACCTCTACAACCCTAACTACCAAAACCACCTCTACAACCCTAACCACCAAAACCACCTCTACAACCCTAACCACCAAAACCACCTCTACAACCCTAACCACCAAAACCACCTCTACAGCAATGACCAGTAACGCCACCCCCCTAGTCCTGACCACTTCAACCTTAGGAGAAAATTTCTTCTCTAATCTGCGACGATGTATGTCCCCCCTCTCCCCACCCCTACCTCCTACCTTGATTAGATAATAATTGTTTAAACAACATAAGATGCCACGTGATTAAGACCTTAACCCCCCCCCCCCCCACCAATATCCGGTTTTAGCACATGGTTTTCCGTGAGTTTTTCAACAGATGTTGATGACAATATAACTACAATTAAATGGTAAATGTTCAAATGCTTAAGACGGATTCATGGCCTTAATTTTCTTCTTAGTCTACTCCAAGGCATCTACAATAAGTGTAATTTTTTATAGAATGACCATAACCTCAAACTTTAACCTATGCTTTTTTCCTAGACTATACCAAAGCCGAAATCTTAAATAATTATTACCATATCTTGACTACTTCCACTATTTCATTACTTTTCTCCATCTCCCCCTCCCCCAGTTGATTTTTTCACAACATTTTTCCCCAATCATTTCCCGTAGATTTATAAGCCCTCCCTTATCCCCTCCCCCCTCGCTCCACCCTCGCACACTAATCTGCCTTCCCTTGCACCCATGGCGAGGTAAGCCTTGAGAAATGACAACACATCACCTAAGCCGACTTGACAGCGCTGTCCAATTAGTAGCTGCATCTGTGGTAAAAGTGCCAGACAACTAGGACACATACTACACTTTCCTGTACACAATTCAAGTGCTTTTATTCATCGCAAAAACAACTATCATCTTACCCCCATAGAACTCATTCCTTTACACAAAACATGTGCTTTTATCCATCGCAAAAACAACTTTCTCAACTTAGCCCCATAGAACTCCTTGCTGTACACAAAACAAGTGCTTTTACACATCGTAAAAACAACTATCTCACCGTTACAGTGGCGTAGCGAGGTGGGGTGTCACCCGGTGCGGCACTTAATGGTGTCATCCCCCAGAGGCGTAGAGACCCTTCCGGGGACAAACTTTCAAATTTTTGATTTGCACCCCCCCCCTTAATCTTTCGATTTGCACCCCCCCCCCCAAACTTTTGATTTGCACCCCCCCCCCCTCAAGTTTTCTCTATATATTTTGCTAGTTTTTGTCTTGGTGTCACCCCCCTAAATGGTGTCACCCGGTGCGGTCCGCCCCCCCCCCCCGCCCGCCCCCCCCCCCCCTCGCTACGCCTCTGCACCGTTATGTTCCCCAATCATAACTGTATGTCGTTACCCGCAATGTGAGAAACTCGGCATTCTATAAAGTGCATGATATGATCCTACTGAGTACGAATCAAATCGTATTTTCGATATGGCTAAGGCATTCTTGTAGTGCCCAACGGGGAAACCAGTTGAGTGTAGAGTAAGCTGATTTGCTCCTGGGAAGTTTCAAACTACAGTGTTGCTGATTAGCTCCTGGGAAGTTTGAATGTACAGTGTTGCTGATTTGCTCCTGGGAAGTTTGAATGTACAGTGTTGCTGATTAGCTCCTGGGAAGTTTCAAACTACATTGTTGCTGATTAGCTCCTGGGAAGATTAGAACTACAGTGTTATTTTAAAGCTCTAATAAGACATGGGTAATGAATATACAGGATAGCAAAGAACTTAGTGTCAGGTCGCTGTTAATAACGTTCAACCAAATGCCTACCTCTAAACCTAAACCTAATCTTAAAAAGGAAACTTTAAACCTAAGATAAACTGGTAGATGTAAACTAAAACCTTCAAGGGAATAAGTGAAGCTGCTTGTAAACAGTTTCTTTCAGTCACCTCTCCTAAAGCACCGCCCCCTACCCCCCCCCCCCCCCCACCCCACCCCACCTCCTCCGACCGTGCAACAAGGAAATAGAGAAAACTATAATTTATGTGGAGCGTATTTTTTAAACTCCTTTCGATTCCCCCTACGTAATTATTGTAAGCAGTGTGTAAATACAGAGTGGACGTAAAAACAAAATGTTCACATTCTTTCTCATCAACTCTTCAAACGGTCACGTGATAGGATCATAAATCAAAGACACGAAACTAATGCAGCTGTTGATGTCAGTACACATGTTTGTCGGGTGCACTTTTATGTCTCTATTTGTCGTGTCTGTCTCTTCGTCTGGTCTTATATCTATGTTGGTCTTGTAAATATGTTGTCTTTGTATATATGTTGGTCTTGTTAATATGTTGGTCTTGTAAGCATGTTGGTCTATTTAATATATTGACCTTGTAAATATGTTGGCCTTGTAAATATGTTGGTCTCGTTAATATATTGACCTTCTAAATATGTTGGCCTTGTAAATATATTGGCCTTTTAAATAGGTTGGCCTTGTAAATATGTTGGCCTTGTAAATAGGTTGGCCTTGTAAATATGTTGGCCTTGTAAATAGGCTGGCCTTGTAAATATGTTGTCTTTGTAAATATGTTGGTCTTGTTAATATATTGACCTTATAAATATGTTTGTCTGTAAATATATTGGCCGTGTAAATAATTTGGCTTTGTAAATATGTTGGCCGTGTAAATAATTTGACATTGTAAAGTTTGTAGTCCTAGTATTTCTGTTCACCTTGTAAATAGGTTGGCCTTTAAAAGTCTGTAGTCCTTGTATTTCTGTTGACCTTGTAAATAATTTGGCCGTGTAAATAATTTGGCCTTGTAAAGTCTGTAGTCTTTGTATTTCTGTTGACTTTGTAAACATGATATCCGTGTAAATAGGTTGGCCTTTAAAAGTCTGTAGTCCTTGTATTTCTGTTGGCCGTGAAAATAGGTTGGCCTCGTAAAGTCTGTAATCCTTGTATTTCTGTTGACCTTGACCTCTCGTGTCCTACACTACAAGCACTATACAACGTAAAAGTGTGGCCTCCCTAAAGTTCATCTATTTTTAGTTCTCCACCCTGCCGGTCCCGTACTGTTACAACATCACATAAAACATCCATCTGGATGATTTGATGCCTTGAGCTCTTTCAAAATAGAAATGTTTTCTTTGGTGATTTTTGACCACATTTCTGATATTTAAAAAATCTTTTTTCATAATACGATTTTTTGTTTGTTGACGATATTGTTTTGTAAATATTTTCTCTACAGTTTTAAATTAATACAAAGATGTAATTAAAAAAAGAAAAGACTAACCATTATATTGATTTCATTCGAAATCAATTCAAATGGAATATTATGATAATAGACATGTTCCAAAAAAAATATTTTTATTAAAATTTCTAAATTAGTAATTCTTATAATGAGACATTCCATTTCCATCATTGATTATTGTTTATTTTCAATGTGTTTATTTTTAAAACAGAATTTTTAGTTTTCAAATCCCCATCCCTGGCTACATTAAAAATACCTGCGTCGTTTATCAAGATATATTTAGGTCGCTTTCTCCTGCTAATAGCTAAAATTAGCAAACAGAGGAGCGATTCTTTAAACATCAGCGTAATGTGAGAGAGTAACAGTTTTATGTGAAAATCGTTGAAAAGACATTCTTCAATTTAAAATTTGCTATATTTCAAAGTCAGGTTTATCACGGCCATATTTCCATTACTATTAATAGTATTCACAGTATTCAGTTTATTTCCTAAAACTAAGTGGTATGTTGTTTTAAAGCACGGAATAGTGGGGTCTTTTTTAAATTATTTTTTTATTATTATCAAATAATTTGCATAGATAAGAATCTGAGAAATAAGACGATGTTTTATATCTGTAGTTAGATCATCTTTAATAACATCAGACATCAGCAAAGACTAGTGTAAACAATTAATGTATGTAACCCTAACAACACAGATACCGTTATGGATCCATTAACGTATTAAGCTCACCAATCAAGAAAACTCTTACGGTATTATTAATGCCACACCGGGCAGAGTTTTTAAAACGTTGTTGTTGTTATCTTAACCTAAAGTGATGGTGTGTTATTTGTGTTAGCCATAGGGTGCCATGTGTTGTCAGTTTTAATTACGTTTAATCTGATTAACATTTTAAAATTATCTAATCAGTAAAATACGATTATAATTAAACGTCTTTAAGCTTAAGATTTTAAAAATTAATCTTCAAAATAACTTTTTTTGTAAAATTGTAAGATCTAACAGTATTAGTTAACTACGACGACAGATAAATAAAATTACTTATAAAAATCTGCAACCACTTAAAGAATTATATTTTTTAGAGTGGATCAATGTAGGCGTTCAATAAGAAATAGTGGATGAACATCTCAGGGAAAGAAGAAAAAAAGGTTCTAAAATGCTTGGCAGATTAGCAAATAAAGGACGCCATTATTTTTATTCCTTCCCCTGACGTCATACTTTTTTTTTCGGATTCTCCGCTAATGGTGCAGGACTTGAACTCTATCAAACAAGATGCAAAAACTTAAGGTCAAATTCTTTTTTTTTAATCGTTAGCCCCGCTAAGGGAACAACAGTACAATAACACAATTTTAAATCGCTTTATATATTGTTAATGAATAGTTTGGTAAGTAGGTTGCTTCCCTTCTTCTAGTTAAATTTTGTTTGTATGGCTTAAATCTCTTCTAACAGTGTTTGACTAAATTTGAAAAATATAAGTTAAATAACACCATATAAATCTGGGGGATTGTGTTGCCAGATTAAATTGTCGTTAATCACTTAATGGGTTGATTATCTCTGTTATAAATGTTTTGTCGCACAATTAATGGACATTGGCGACAATCTCCCGTATTGTTTTTGTGTCAAACACGTTGTTTCCTTCATCTATACATTGACCTTCACCCTTCTCACATTAGGAGCTTGACCCGTCCCTATTGACCTTCACCCTTCCCACATCAAGAGGTCGACCAGTTCCTATTGACCTTCACCCTTCTCATCTGAGGATTTCGGCCAGCTCCTATTGACCTTCACCTTTCCCAGCTCAGTTCGACCCGTTCTTATTGACCTTCACCCTTCCTAACCCAGGAGTCGACTAGCACCTGACGCCACTACCCAATCAAGTTCACTGTGTTTATTGAAGGTCTTTTCTTTGCTTACTCTCTGATCGCTAGTTGCAGAGTTTCTTCCAGGCATCTATTCGAGGGGGGGGGGGCTAAGCCCCCCCCCCCCCCCCCCGAAATTTTTTTACCGCCC